AATTCAACCCCCAAAAAAACCAAAAAAAGTGCTTCTGTTGCAATTAGTATTCTCTTCTTGTCTCTGTTCTTACTTTTCAGAGTCTAAAATGGTAATATTTTCTCTTCTTTTTGTTTTTCTCAGAGCGTAGCATCAGTCATTAGTTTCTTCTTTAATATCTGAAGAAAAAAAGAAAACAGATTCATAATAAAATTTGATCTCAGATAACCCAGCATTACCTGATTTTTTAAAAAAATGTTTTGTTTCAAAAGTAGGAAACTCCAAATAAATGCACTATTTTAAGACATATGATACCTTCCATCAAATCTAAAGTAAGGTAATTTTGTTTCTAGAGGAAAAACCTGAAAAGGGAAATTGAAACAAAACTCTCCCCTTTTCCTCCCCACTTCTTGCTCAAGAAGTTCTGCCTTGAAGAGATCTGTATATGCCTTTTGGAATATTAGGGGAAAAAAGCAGTCCTGTGTAGCCACTCAGCTCACAACAGTAGATGTCTGACAGAGGACAGAATTTTGCCATCTCTTCTACTGACCAGCCTATGAGTGCCTATTATTAAAAAGAGATGAATCTGAGAACCTAGCAGTCAGTAGGCTTGTCTTGGGCAGGGACAGGAACTCCGGGGGAAAAAAAAAAGTTCCATTCCCGTTCATGCCACAGTTTTGATCCCACAGCTGCGTCCAGAGGAGTTACTGCAGCCTTGGAATTCTTTCCTTATCCCTCCCCCTTCTCCAAAGAACTCAGCTGGCCTTTCATTTACCAGCAACGCTCTCTCCTTTCTTGCTGCTGCTGCTCTCTACTTCTCTTTCAGCAAGTGATGTCAACTCCAGCTCCGTCTGGCAGTTCTGATATGAACTCTGGTCTGGTGTTGCCACTCCCTTTGGTTTTCCAGTATGTGGCATGGATCCTACTGTTGTTCCGTTGGGCACTTGAAGGAAATACGGAGAAGAGGGCAGGCTGGGCTGTGTATAGGAAATCTGCTCTGTGAAGTAGTGTCCTGCTGCTGTGCTAGAAAAGGGCATTTGTGAGCCCAACTGATTTGAGAATGGAGCTCCCTGCATATAGAAATCGTTCCAGGGGGCAGCCTGATAGGCAGTGATACCTGCTGAGGAGAAAGTAACAAAGAAAGGACAGAATAATGAAAATAAGGAAGGTAGGATTAACACCATGTACATGTAAAATGTCTACGTTGTGTTCCTGAAAGCACAAAAACACATGCTCAGTGCAAACCAATATTACACTTACGCCTTAACGGTTTCTGCAACAGAGCAGACACTGCAGGCACATGAAGGTTAACTTTGTTGTTTCCACAGCAGTATTTTTTATCCAGGGCATAGTTCATAGGTAGAAGAACTTGAGAAGTTCATAGCACTGTTCTATTTTGAAGAATGTGATGTCACTTTAGCACAGATGCTGGGTGTATTTAGTGAATTACAGTAAAAAAAAAAAATTTTTTTTCCTCCACCCTACTTGTCCAACTCAGCTCTGCAAAGCGTGACCTGGATGCTCATTCATCACTCTCATGTATTAAACCTGCAATACCACAGCAGGTACATTCTTTAATTCATATATGTTAATCCAGCTGAACTGCTCACTTGCTTACATGCTAAAATAACACTTTAGGGGTGTGTGTGTACACTGCCAGTCCATTTCTCTCCCCATTGCACTTCGGGCCCTTGGCCTCAGTTGTCCACACTGCACAGTCACAGGACCCCTTCCTTGAAGAGAAGGGCCAGGCACTGCAGATTCACTACACATTGTGCTCCAGACAGGAGCATGGAAGGAGAGACTCTGACACTCTGCTCCTGCAGCACTCCTCCAACTTTATCAGTTCTTGCAAGGCTAGCACTTGTGCTCTCATGACAGGCCCCAAGGTATGCAATGCACATTCCTGGCATCATGCTATAAAAACATTAATTTGGTGTGCTGTGACACAGCCCTCTCATTACTTCTGGCACTTCAAACTGAAAAACCACAGAAAATAATAATTATGCTTTACAACAACAGAGGAGAACCAGGCCAAGTGCTAGATAGCATGGGTGCTGCCAAACTGTTCTTGAGAGCGTTAGCCATGAAGACTGTGAACATGAGCCAGCTTGCGCCAACAAACCTGTGAGTCAGACTTCTTTCCCTGACAAGATCCACAAAAACAGTATAGAAATAGGAGTAGCATCTGTGGTCTGAAAACTCTTTATTCCCATATGTAATAAGATGTGAGACAGATTTTTGGACTGTGTGCTTACTTTTAACAAGCCTGACAGTCCAAACAAATAAACTGCAATAGTTATCTTTTGATTTTACTTGGACCTGAACAACTTCAAAATACAAATCACTGACACAGAACAATGAGGTTGACAATGCCATTTTTACCTAGTTACTTTTTAGAAAATAAATTATGTTGAAGTGCTCTAATCTAAGTGGTGTTACAAATTAATGTCAGAGGAAGAAAAAGAATGAAGCTATATCCCTATTGTGTTGCCCGTGTCTCTGACCCTCTTCTTTTGTACGGCCCCACGGTACACAGGTTCTTTCAAAATGGTTTCTTTAGAAGCCCAGCAAAGTCAGAAGCCTATTTTTCCTCACGATCTCCAACTAGTTCACTTGTTGTGGCACTTCTTCCCTTTGCACCTTGGACTCATACCTACCTATACCATAGGCATATTAGTTTGCTCCACAATACACCTCTGGAAAACAAAAATTAGCTTCCTTCCAGATAAACCATTGCAGTACCTGACCTATTACGCATGATAACATTCTCTCTGACATGCAGCCTAAGAAATAACTTCTGAATGAAATCTATGTGTCACTTAGCACTTAAAAAAAAGAAAACAGGGAAATAAAAGGATGGGACATATATATATGTGGGTGTGCATGTATACATACATACATGTATTTGCACATTCCTTTCTTTCACAACCATCAGTAAAATTACTGATCACCCTGGTCCTTTCAGGTATCATACAGTTACTCCTGAGGAGCAGAACACCAAAAGAATTCAGAAATTTACCTGAGCTTCCACTTGGCTGCTCTAATAAGATCTGTCCTCCCATGTGGTTCTGTACATAGCCTTGCATGGCCTCTGCTGCCCCATAGGTTACAACTCCACTGTTGCCAGCTAAGGCAAGAAAAGGTGTATTGGACTCAGCGGATGTTGTAGGTGTGAGGCTGGAGAGCACACTGCTGGGCAGGTGAACTGGCAGATGGTGGAACTGGGAGAGCTGGTGCTGCTGAGGATATTGGGGCAGCTGGTAGGTTCCACCCTGGCTGCTGTACTGGCAGTACGGGGTCTCTAGGCTGGCTGCCGACTCCAGCTGTTCAGGGTAATTGCAGGAAGCTGGGGAATTTGCACTGCAAGCAAGAAGAGAAGTAATTCGGAGATTAAAGTAGCGGCAACAGCTGCAGCAACCTGTACAACCTGTTATATCTCCACCCTGACATCCACTCCAACTCTGATATAATTCCTACCCTCTCTCCCAAATCCCAGGCACAGGACAAGAGTAACAGAAACCACTGGAGCAGAGTGCTATCATAGTAGTGTTCTTTAACAGTCCACATTAGTGAGGACTGCTTTTACCTCTACTCTTCCCACCCTTTAAGCACCCCCCTCCCCCAGCGCTCAGTGCATCATCTCTTAAGGATTCCTTTTCATTGTACTTCTGAACCCTACTTTTGCCAACATACAAGCAGTTCTGACTGCATTCTGGTAAAAGGCATGCCTTTTGTGGGAGCAAGGGTCCTGACCCACTAGGCACATCTTTACATTTTTTTTTATACCCCCTTTAAAGGAGTTTCCTTTCTTTTGTTCTCTAGACCCTCTTACTCCCACATCTAAATTCCCATTTATGTTCCCGTTCTCTTTTTTCATCTCCTTCAAAGACAATCTCATCTGTTCCTACCCTTGATTCTGGACGCTGTAAGTGAAGGTCTCCATGGAGCCATTTTCCTGACCAGACAAGCTGCATTCACTGTTAGGAGTGTCCAGCATCAAGGGAACAATATGATTGTGGGGGTTGAAGGACAGACTGAGAGGGAGGCTGGCCCTGCGGATGGGTGGAGGGCTAGGAAGCCTAGGGAAGCACTCCATTCTGCTGGAACCAAAGTTGCCTTGAGATAGTGGCTTTGTCTGAACTGCTTCACAACGTGACACCATTCCTGTCACTGAAGAGACTGTGAATAAAGAGAGAGACTGTCATACTGTGCTGCAATACTGAAAATAAAAAGGAGTAAGCAGAAGGAGGAGTCACAAGAGTGACAAAAGAGAAAGGCAAGATGTCAGTCAACTAGTGGAGGTTAACTGAGGAGAATAAAAGTAATTAAGTAGCAGCATGGCTGCTGGGAAGCAAAAGGTATATAAGGAGTAGTAACAAGCTCTCTGGAACAGAGGCTGATGTTTATTGGTTAAATAAAATTACCTTCATGATCTCAGTTTCTGCACACTGGATTTATTCAGCTCTCAAGAAACCAGCCAAATGAAGCAAAGCACTTCCTGAAAAAAAGCCAGGTACAATCCCCCAGCCATCTTCCATCTCTAGTGTCCTCTTGGAAGAATGTGCTGCCCAGATTACCCTTTTGAAAGACTTAACTGAGGTTTGAAAGAAACAAAAACATGCCTTTAGAAATCCACTGTCTAGGTCATTTTTTACCAAATTTTCATTCCTGGTTTGGCCTCTGAAGTGTCAATCCAAAAAAGCAGAGATGTCAGCTGAAGGGCCTTGTGAACAAGAAGCTGGGAGATGGAAAATGAAATGGACGTCATTCGGTTGCTAGAGTCTTGTTTGGTGACCTGCCTTCTCAGTCACTGCTGGAAAAGGAGAGAGGAACAGTTTCTTACAGAGAGAGCAACCTCTGTGAAAAGAGGACAATGTAGGAAATGATAAAGTCAGAAAGCACATATGCTGATGATCCAGAATAACAAGTGTACGTAGGAGTTCAAGAAGCTTGCACATATAGGGCAAGAGAACAAAACTGTCTTCTGTTATGCCAAATAGCAAACTATCTCTTTCTCGAGAAGTGTGACAAACAGGTGTGCATGACACAATTTGAAATGAATTTTCAAGTCTGGCCAGGTTGAACCAGCACAAGTAGTGAGCACATATGAGGGAATATCACTGACTGTTCGGGTAGCATTGGTCTACTGCTATGCATTGGAAAGCATTCAGGGAAAGTTAACAGTATGAACAGCTTACAGCTGTAGCCATAACTGTACTCAGTAATCTGCACCCTTGCAGACATACAGTGTAACATCAGATGCACTCCACCAAGGGAGAATCAAAGGCCTTAAACGTAAAACTTAACCATAATACTAGAATGGCAGGCATAAGCAATTGTTAGAGAATTTTGAAATGCACGCTGAGAGAGCTGATAAGGAGATTCCAGTTCAACACCTTGCAGCACAGTTTCTCAGTTTCCCCAGTGTACTGTGCAGTTGTGCTTATCTTATTGTATCTTCCTACATCAAATGGTTTTCAATTCACTGCAGCTATGGAAAGAGGGAATCACCATGTTTCAGTGAAAACTTGAACAGCCCTGACTTGTGATTCATTTAGAAAACTAGAGCAAGTCCGATGATGGCTTCTCAAAAACATTCACATGCCCAGGCAACTGTCAGTGCTTTATTCTTCTATTTGAACATATCCTTTCTCCATGTTGGGCAACATTTGTAATGTACATGTCTTAGGTTTATCTCACCATTTTCTATTTTTTGACAGAACACAGCTCATTTAGTCCCATACAACACAGCATTAGTCAAGACAATAGCTAGTTTCCTCGAAAGTCAAAACGGCTTAAGTCAGAAATGAGGCTGAGCATCTCTTCCAGTTTTTGAAAACCTTCTTTTGCACTTGTTCTAACCATTCTGTGCTGGAAAGTAGTAATACACACAGATGTTATGAAACAGCAGTCAAAACTTACCTGAAAAACTGACCGCATCCAGATAAACCTTTAGTCAAAAATGACAGTAGCATCAGCTATTCTGCAGATGGCCATCATCTTGCTCAGAATGAATATAAGCAGTGTTAACAACATAGCCCAAGAAACCTTTTCTAAACTCTTTCACGCACATTTAGAATTAAGCTCTGTTTTGTGAAATACTTGCAACACCTAGGGCAGATAATCCTTATGGATCATGGCAGTAGAACCATGGGCAATGCACTCACGAGGATAGCATACTCAGCCTCCAAAGAGCTGGTTAAGCCTTTTCTAAAATTTCCTCTGATTTTCAGACCATTCTAAGAAAGACACGGAATGCATCGCTTCTGAGTACAGTAACAAATGAAGTTAGAATAAGCCATTTCCAGAGAAGTAGTATCTGCTAAATATGACACCACTTTTACATAAGACTTCAGCACCTTCTTCAATGGTGAAGCATGTGTTTGACCACTGGCTTGAGATGATACTTACATCTTACAATTTTGTTGTTCTCCCAGCCATTGATGTAGATATCTAAATTCTTAGTAGGTTTTCCACAAAACGTGGGAAGGCAACTGTAGGATTTTTTGTTTATCACTTCCACTGTTTCTGGGTTTTCAATCCATGAGACAACCATAGCAATTTATGGAGATCAATTTAATAATTTGCAGCTTCAGATCTCACTTTTGTCAGTCTCTGAACCAGTCCTGGTGATACGCTGTCTTTTAACTCAAGAGTGGCTATTCTAAGTCTTCAGCTACACAGCTGTCTCCTCCATACTACAGCTGCTTCCTCAGCATCCTGGCACAGATAAGATACCCATTCTTTAGTGCAAAGAGTTTCCAGTGTATAGGATAAGAGTCTTATATGAATAAAAATGGATGTGTACACTTCTCTTGGGATGACTGTGATTTCAATCTTATACCAATACTGAAGCAGACAGAGGTCTATTCTAGAGCAGAGTCTCTAGATCATGTCAAACTTCATGCAATTATTCCCAAGACTTCCATTACATAAGTAATCATCTTGTTATTTGCATAAGAGCTACCAGAATATGCTGGGCCCCTGAAATGCAAAATTAGCCACATGAAGCAAAATACTTCCTGCAAAAGCACCACTGCAGGCAGGGGTGGAATCTTATCCTACAAACCAGAGGTACAGAATGTAACTTTTCTTTCTCAAGGGTCAAATCTAAAGGGGTAAAGAGGCGATAGAGATATAAGCACCTCCCCTGCTCACGAACAGCTTCTGCAAAGTAGACGTCATTAGTTAAATCATCAGTAACCTCATAAAACATGCAAAAATATGCACAAGTGCATGCCTAATCTTGCCTGAAGCACTGCTATAACTGGAAGCTTAGTGTGCATAAGGTCACTGCTCACCTGCAAAAACATGCTGTTGATTTGCATGTAAAAGACACTTCACTGTACTTGTATCCAAACTTTCTGTAACATTAAGGAAGATTCAAGCCTACTCAGAGACGTTAGAAGTTCATCTCTAAGAGTCTCTTCATGCTTTAAGCCAATAAATTACCACAGAAAGAAATCTGTAAGAAGTCTCAAACAAACAAGAGGAGGAACTTCAAATAACTGAAAATATCACAAAAGAATTAAGTACATTAAGTTGTTTAAAACAAGGTAGCTGTCTTGCAAAAGTAGTAGGAAAACAATCCTAAGATCAAAGAAAGCTCAGGTAAGAATTTCTGAAGCAAACAAGGCTCCTGCGGCAAGTTGTGTAGGTAAGACTTGAAAACTGAAGCCAAACTCAGAAGCCACAACTGCCAGCAAGGAAGAGTAAGTCTAAAATAGAACTTGCTAACATTTTTAATCATCTTGTTTACAGAACTGTATAAAAAAGTGGGACATAAAAAACCTCTAGTCAGCCAGAATTACTGGCTAAAGAACAAGAAAAAACATAGGAAAAGAGGGTGCTGAAGGCTCTCCAACGGCGTCAGTTAGCAGATCGTACTGTTCTCAGGCACATAAGTGATTTGCTCGTCCAGCTGAAAGTGGTTCAGCACACTGCTACCAAGAAAAGTGTCCGAATAATCACTTCATTAGGCCACAATCTCCGAACGCAACTGCGCCATTACATACAGGTCAGAGATTAGCTTGATGAAGCCTGTCATTTATTAGCTGTTTCCATAGAGGCCATTCTTTGTACTGAGCAATCGCTCTTGTCTTGCAAATGCACCATGCTATTTATTTATCCCATCTGTTTTTTCAATTTTATTTTGGATTTTATCCTATCCATATTTTATCTCCTTCATTTTGAGATCTTCTAATAAAGAAAACAGGTGGGTCCTGCATGTTTCAATTTGTTAGCAAGCTTTTTTCTGAAGAAGGTGGCTGAATTTGAAAGTTGCATTGCCTTTTATTTTTCTTCCATCTCATTTTATAATTTCATTCTTAAAAAAAAAAAAGTCTGCTTATATGATGCCAGATAATGAAAAAAGCAAGTTTCATCTCTCATGGTTGGGTTATCCTACATCTAATGAGGCAAAGCTGTGACTGAAGCTTTTCCTATGATTAGGCCACGCAGGTTTCTCTCCCACGAGGACACTCTGTACCTCATAACAGTCTTTCCCTCAGAGGGAGCACTAACTTAGATGTCTCTGCTCTGCTCTGGCAGCTATTTTCTTGTAGGAACATAGTATTTTTATGACTTCCACCGTCTGTCAAATTTAACTGGAGTTAAATAAATTTGGGGGGAAGACTAGGTTTAATAAACAGCACAGCTTCTGTGTGTGGCTCCTTAGACACACCATACATCTCCTTCCCCTCAGGAAAACAAGTTTAAAAAAAAAAAAAAAAAAGGCAACCCCCCCCCCCCAACCATAGTTTGTGTGTATTAGCAAAGCATGTCTCTCTTCTGCAAAGAGATTTAGAAATGGTACTTTCTTTTCAAAGAGATCTCTATCTGGAAAGTGTTTACCAGCTTTAGTTGACGCAAATAGATTTCATTACTTCTTGCCCAGCAGAACCAGCATGATTTAAAGAGAACAAGGGGAAGTCTGTTTCCTCATATACATCTAGCAAAACGAAGTACATTCTAATCTTCACACTTACGCCAAATACTGAAGATATATAGTTTCAGACAAACTGTGCAAGCTACATGTACACTCAGTAAATGCAATAGGTGACAGTCAGAAGCAAGTTAAAAGGCCTCAGGGAATAAGAACTCAGCTACGTTTATCACTCATTTTCTCACATAGGCAGTCCATTCTCAGGAACATTCAGTTGCCTTTTTCTTCCTTACACATTGTGCAAAAAATTCAGACAGGACTTTTCTTTCTTAACAGAAGGATTGTGTTTTCCATGAGTGCAGTTGTATCCAGTGTGCAGATTCCTCAGAAGAAAATGTTCAGTACAGATAGATGACAAGATCACAGCCCTGAATGAAACTCTAGGTGGGAGCATAGCTGAGGTCTGCTCATTTTCTCTAATAGACATATCCTCTCTCAACTAAATAGCATGTCTGCAGATGAACTTCAGGAACCAGGAGAGTTCTGCAGACAAGTGTAGAAATATAAGCATATTTGGTTTGTTTTCTTTAAATGAATTATTCTTCAAAATCTTGGTCTTTATCTAATTAAATACAGGAGACAGACTGCACCGTTTCTTCATTTTGGGAAACGGTGGATTATTCAAACACTTTGACTATGTTTACTCTGCTGCAAGAAGATGTGGAAAAACTGCAGTTAATTGAATTACAGTTGAATTGGTTAAACAGCTCATAGAATTGACTTAAGTGGTCCTTGCCTTGAGATTATTTATGACAGCCAAGTTTAAATGATAGAAGTGCTGGATTACAGTATCAAGAAATCATCACAATTAGGTATGTTTAGTTTAGATATCTGTTTTTTAGAATTCTAAATTTGTTGATACAGTTTTATTGTTGCTTTCTACAGTGCCAAAATATTTTGTAAGTTTTCAGTCCTATTAAAAAGTTGAGTCATATTAAAGAACGTTTTGCACAGAACTGGCCTTAAAAGTAACACCACTATATGTTTAGCATACAATAAAAGGACAGAAACGAGAGCATGAAATTCAAAAGAATGAATAGTACTGAAGAGTAGGAAAAAAAACCCACAGCTGTA